GTCCGCCCGCCTGCAGAAGCCAGCCTCTCGCGCGGAGCCTTTGAAGAAGCCCCCGTCGCTTACTTGAGGTCGTTCCCGTTGCCAGGGTTCATCTCCACGCCAGCGGTTTCTCGACTGAGGTCGGATGAAGTGATTCAGATGCGTAACGAGCTCTTCAACAAAGAGAAGGAGAGGCAGCTGTCTCTTTACCCGCGGATTGAGAAAATTGAAGTAAAATACACGGGGAAATCGCACCCTGGCACCGTGTTTGTAATGAACAAGGCTTTGTCTACTCCCTACAACTGCGCCATGCGTAAGTGAATGCACCCTTACACGGTGCTGCTCCTGATGGAAATTGTGCTACCCACTGAAATGCTTGTCCTCTTGATTTGGTACTGACTTTTTAATGACCGAGGTCATAGACGTGTTCAAAATATTTGTGTTTGGTAAGTTCAAAATACCTTTGTGCTAAAATACATCCGTAGAAACTGAGCTCGTTTTTGGAGGCTCTGCTAAGAGCTCATCCTTCCAAGTCGTTTACAAAAGTGAAACTTGCAGTTTGTTGTTGCAGATGCAGGGGGTCTGAACTGCTGACTCTGAGAAATATGGTTAATAACCGTGTAATAGTATTTTAACTTTCTTTAGACTTAAGTGAATGGCATTGCAAGAAATCCGTTCTGGCTCTTGTGGATGGTGAAGTCTGGGATATGTACAGGCCCTTGACCAAATCATGTGAAATTCAGTTCCTTACTTTCAAAGATGAAGATCCAGAGGAAGTAAACAAGGTATGTCTGTGTCTTGTCCATTGTAGGTGACCCCGATTATGACCACTTGATTCTGTATGCCCCTTTCATTTCCGTGTCTGTCTGCTGTCTTGAACTTTCTGGTCGTGGAAGTTCAGGTATTTTTAACGGTTGGCGCATCGTGGTTATTGTTAGCTGGACCAGGGTGTGGGCTATATGATGTGTGGGTATCCCTTTCAGCCTGTGTCATGTTTTACGATTTCAGATTTAAGTATCTTCAGGGAAACATCTGCCTTGCACTTAAAGTGCAGTTTTGATTTTTTTGATTGCTTCTCTATGGAGAATAATCTCCAAGTAGCAGTTTAAATACTAAAGAAAGTAATGCTTGAGTTTGCAGCTAAATTTGAGCGAGTCATTCAGTTAAATGTCAGCATTCCTTTCGAATAAATAGCTATAATTTTTCTCGTATGGGTTGTTAGTTTCCACGAAATAAGTCACAGAATCCCACAGAATCACAGAATGTCAGGGGTTGGACCTCAGAAGATCATCTAGTCCAGCCCCCCTGCCAGAGCAGGATCACCTACAGTAGGTCACACAGGAACTCGTCCAGGCGGGTTTTGAAAGTCTCCAGAGAAGGAGACTCCACAACTTACCTGGGCAGCCTCTGCCAGTGCTCTGTCACCCTCACAGGGGAAAAGTTTTTCCTCGTATTTTTGTGGAACCTCCTATGTTCCAGCTTGCACCTGTTGCCCCTTGTCCTGTCATTGGGCATTACTGAGAAGATGTGTGTTTTGAAATTCTCCTTACAGGCCTATTGGCGTTCCTGTGCCGTGATCATGGCGTGTGTGTTAAAGCGGGCGTTCAAAGATGAGTACTCAGTGAATCTGATGAAAGCTCCAGAAGTGCCAGGTGATACGAGTGTTTTATACTGATTGTCTTGTTCTTTACTGCTGCTTAAGTGAGTGTCTAATAGCTTCACCAAAAAACCAGAGGCTTCTTTTTCAATGATTGAAGGTACTTAGCTTTGATATGTGTATTACATGCTGTTGTAGCCTTTAATTTGTAAAAATTACACTGAAAACAATTTAGTTATCGAAGTACAGAAAATTGGACTGTGTGGCAGCTGGGTTTCAGACCACTTGGGATTTCATAGGTTAACTCAGTAACTTAAGGACATAACTTTTTATTGTCAAGTTACATGAGTAAGGTGTGTAGAAGATATGGTGTGTTTCTGTGAAATTTGCTGTAATAACCACATAACCTTGTGAGCACGTGAATTATTAAAAAAATCACAGTATATGCATAAAATTGGAAGATTATTGAAGCATCAACAGGGTTAGTAACAACTTCTGCTCATCTGTGACCTGATTTAAGATTTACAAAAGTAAGAAAATACACAAGAGGAGAGGTTATAATCACACAGGTTTTGCTATTTAAATATGTTTGATATGTAAGAAAATTGGTTGGTGGTCACATGGAGTCCACCTATAAAGGATTCCCTTTTTAAAGATTTCAACATTTGTCTTGATTGGCAAGCCTAGACTCAATATTTCAGTTCTACCAGGATTTGGAGCAACAGTCTTGCATATACTAAGTTATACCGTTACACTGTATGTATAGAATAGTGTGAGCTTACTGGGTTCATAAGCTTCATTTCTGAGATGACAATAACTGAACAAATGTACACAAAGAGTGTTCTAATGACTATCACAGAAATTTGTGTTGCCTTTATGAGAAATTTGTGTTATGCTTGTGTCATAGATAAACATTTTACTTCAGCTCTAACATTATCTAATTTCTCTATACAGTAAATTCCTCTGTCCAATTTAATAGTGCAGATTTACTTTTATCATAGGATGCATGCAAAATCAAAAAATGAAATGTTTTCAAAGATTTTTTTCTTTCAGTGTTAGATGCAGTTTTGGGAAGCCGTATAACTTTTTTTTTCCCCTTTAATGGGATTGTATAATACTGACATTACATTAAAACTCATTTCAAATGACTTTCTCATCCAGTGAAATGAAACTGAAATGATACAGCTTTAATCTGCCATTTGACTCTGTAATCAGAGCTGAAAATGTATATTTTGTGATGGATTTCTTGACATCGTTCTGTTTTTCTTCTAATTAGTTTTTGGTATATTTGGGACATTATATTATGGCAGTGAGATACATACATTGTTACAAATATGAATATTTTTCTCTTGGGAATTGGAATTGCAGTGATCTCTGGAGCTTTCTGTTACGATGTAATTTTGGACAGTAAACTGAATGACTGGAAGCCAACAAATGTAAGCACAACTTCTTTCCCCCAAAGTTATATATCTTGCATCCTTGTCCAACGATTCTTCTTTTTAATGTAGGGGTGGGGGCAAGTACACTAGTTTTAGCTACAGTAGGGGTTTTTTTAGGTCAAGAGTACTCTTTGGAAATTAATCTCTGCACGTACCACATACTGGCTTTTGCTGCAGGCTGCTGTCACAGCTCGCAGACTGGGTTCCTTTCAGATGAAATTAAGCCTTGAGCTGCCTTCCAGGTTTTAGGTCTGTGGGGGTACAGTAAGTTTTAATCTGAAGTACACTTCCAAAACCAAATGATGTGGCTGTTGGGATCTCAGTGCCATCTTTGTTGCTATACAGATCTGCTCCTTCTCACTCGCTCTTGGCCTGTAATTTAGGTCTAACCACAGCTTGAGACCTTTGAAAATAAAAATGTAATACGTGTCTTTTCACCTCCTGGTTTACAGCCTAATCTGTTTATTGTTATAGAAGAACATTCAGCTGAAGCTCTCCTTTACAGCTTATATTTCATGCTCTTCAGTAACTCTAGTCTGAGACCTCAATGTCTCATGAGCATTTGGTAGCTGGTATGATCACAAATGTTTTACTTGTCTGGTGCCTAATCTTGTTCTCATGCCCAAATATCAGCAGAGGTGTACATGGCTAATGAGACAATTTTTGTACCATACAGAATTTTTCTTCAACGTGATCTTGTAGTTGAAGTAACTTTAGTTTGAAATATTTTTATACATGACATTATAAACGTAATTTCTCCTAATAACAATTTCTTATATGTCAGTAAATCTGAGTATTGAGAGCTTTGGATTCTGAACCAAGGTGATCAATTACTCTTAATTATTTGGTACTTTTTTTCCCCCTTTTATTTGTAAGTGGAGTCACAACTTTGGGCAAACAAGATGCTACTATTAAGTATTCATCAGTATAAAACCGTATGTGTATATATGATGTTGGGAAAATATAAGAAGTATAGCTCCAACTAATATATATTGTTCCTGATGGAAAAATGCCTCTTGATTTGACTGGGGGCATTGAATCAGTCAATTTAAGCAGTGATGATCTGTAGCAATTTGTTGCTCATAAATAGATTTACAGCAGTATGGCAATGTTCTCATATTTAGGGTTTATAGTAGGTGATCCTTGTTGTTTTGACTAATATTTAGTGTTTCGTGTGCTTATTCTATTCACTACAACTGTGTAACAGTGGTGACAGTTTTATGTGTATTGGCTGTTTTTTAGGACAACTTTCGTTCTCTTACAAGGGATGCCAGAAAGCTAATTCAGAAAGACCTGCCATTTGAGGTACTGCGTGTTGAAGCAAAAGTAGCACGTGAAATGTTTCAGCATAACAGGTAAGTGTCGCTGAGTTCGCTTTTCTTTTAGAAGGACAATTAGAAATTAATTTAAATCTCTGCTTGGTTTTGTAAATCTAAAATAAGATGTGACAGGTGAAGTAAGAAGCTACTTCTCCCACTACTCCAAATGAACATGCCTCCATTCTCTTTGTCACACTACCTTATTTCATTTTTAGATTTCTCTCCAGAAGCCAACACCAGGCACCTTAAAACGTGTAATTTGGTGACAAATGGAAAGACTGTAGAATTCTTAGTTTAGTGAGCTTCAAGATACCACTACTTTTAAATTGAAGCTCTGGTGGTTAGGCTGGGCTTGCTAGTTACTCAGCCTTTGCTGAAAGGCTTTCAGATTAAAAGAAATGTAGATTTTTTTCATATCTTGGTATCTTCAAATGAAGACTTGATGAAATGCAGTTTTTTAGTTTGCAGAGGGAAAATGAATAAAATACTGTGGCTTCTGCTATAAAAGGAGTCTTGTTCAAAACACTCATCTTTGAAAAAACACTTAAGCGATGTTTTGAGGAAAAATATTCTCTGGTCCACAGCTTGTTGTGGGGTTGGAGAGAACTGGGATGAAATGATAAATTACTTATCGTTTTGTGAACCAAAACAAAACCACACAAAAGCTACAGTTGCAAAAATAACAATTTTTTTTAGCTTAATAATGAAGCTTATATTAGCATGACATACAAAGTAGCATCTCTTTCCTATGTTCACTTGGAAGCATCCAAAGCAGGTGGGGCCTGACTTAGTAATGGCTTTAGACATTTTATGTATATTTGTGTGTGTGTGTGTACCTTAAATTGATCTCTTAAGTATTCTTATAAGAACTAGGCGGTAACATGAGGATTGTTTAAATCTTTTTTTTTTTGGTCTTGTTCAGATACAAAATGGAGATGATAGAACGAAAAGCTTCTCAGAATACAGAAGGAATTGTAATGTTACACAGGTGAGCAAAACTGATCTCTTTCTGTAATGATTTATATATTGCAAGTACTCTCTGAGAGTGAGAAGAGTAAGTTCCTTTGGGTTTCAATTTAGAAATCACTTGTATTCATGGCTGTCTGTAGTCTGTGTGAAGTTGTTGTTTGGGTGGTTTGTTTTCTATATAATTTGTTTTGTGATTACACTTTGTGGATCTCATTACATTTCTATTTCTTGTTATGTTAAAACCTTAAGTGCCAGAGGAGTCTTGCTGCTTCGAATGCTTTTACATAAAATCTAAATAAATCTTTAGAGCTTGACAGGTTAAATAAAATACAACTCAAATACCTGTTGGAAAACAAGAGTTAGCATGTAGTGGATTTTTCTTCCTAACTGGCAAGCTACTGCTTGTAGTGGTGGAGATAAGAATGGAGCTGGCTCCTCAGATATAGTGTAAGATATAAAGCTGGAGGCAGGAAGCCTGTGTTGCATCTCAGGCACGTGAAAGAATTTGTGACTAGCTTAGGCTAGTGTAGGATCTTCTGCGTTCTTGATGTCCAAATTGTTCTGCATTTGATTTTGGATTCTGTATCTCTCTAAAGGAAAATGGATTTACCTATTGATTTCTGGGAGAGGTTTGTTCTGAAGGTTCTTTTACTGTTCATCTCTTTCTCTCCCACTTTTCTTAGTTGGTTCACAGTTTTCCAGGACCTGAAAGGGAAATACCTGTGCAGGATGTAAACACTGTACTGTGAAAAGTGTATGATCTTGGAGACAAACCTTTCTCTGGTGAATGACAGAGTTATCCCACATTTAAGGCCAACCTGACTTCACAGATTTGTTAAACCTGGGATCCTCGGTCTAGACTTGATCTTTATATTTAATAAATTCATTTAGGGAAATTTTCTGTCCTGTAATTTTGCTTCAGGAAATCTAAAAACTCTGAACTGGGGATTTGTTTAGATTTGGTTTGGGATTTGTGTGGATTTTCTTTCATCTGTTCTGTAGATAGGAATTTGCTAATCTCTCTGAATATATTGACATAGTGTGTGGGGTTTTTTGTTTTTTTTTTTTCCCCCCTCCCATCAGGTTTGGTGACTTTGTAGATGTTAGTGAAGGCCCTCATATTCCAAGAACAAGTTTCTGTTTCCAGTATGAGATAACAGCAGCACATAATCTTCAGACTAACCAATCTGAATTAATAAGGAGGTTCCAGGGTGTGTCCCTGCCAGTCCATTTGAAGGTAATTACTACATTTTTTTATAGCTTTTCCTTCTTTAACTTAAGGCATTCAACTTACTTTCTGATCTTTATTATATGCTTTACTGGTAGTCAAACATAATTCAGACATGAGAACAGTAGCAGAAAGGCAAGGCCTGTGGTGATGACTACATTGGATGTTTGGGCCTTGATTTCCTGGAACTGTTGCAGATGTGGAATCGGAACTAGAAAAATTTGCATCAGAGGGTCCTTGATGTTTTATTTTGGTACTGAAGGTGTTGTTTTGGTTTTCTAGTTTCTGCGTTGTTATTTTATTCACCTTGCCTTAGAATCATAGAATCATGGAACAGTTTCAAGATCACACCACTAAACCATGTCCCTCAGCATCTACCCATCTCTTAAACACCTCCAGGGATGGCGACTCAACCACCTCCCTGGGCAACCTGTTCCAATGCCTGACATCCCTGTCAGTAAAGAAATTCTTCCTAATATCCAACCTGAACCTCTCATGGCACAACTTAAGGCCATTTCCCCTTGTCCTGTCACTCACTACTAGACCAACCCCCACCTCACTACAACCTCCTTTCAAGTAGTTGGAGAGAGAAGGTCTCCCCTCAGTCTCCTCCAGGCTAAACAACCCCAGGTCCCTCAGCCCTTCCTCTTATGGCACATGCTCCAAATCCTTTACCAGCT